CCTTGATTCTTAATGAGGAAAACATCTCTGAGAACTGTCATCCTAGGTCACTACAAGTGTCTGGCGGGGCTGGGAGTGAAACCTTAGCTGGCTGCAAAGCCCACTTCTCCCCAGCCCCCAATGGCAGGTGGATGCAGCAGCAAGGTCAGACTCACTCTGAGGGCCAAGCTCCCTCCTGTCTAGGCACAAGTGTGTACTTGGTAAAAGCCTCCTGCCTGAAGCCGTGTGCAGAGGAGAGACAGGTGGCCTCCATGCCAGCGGCGGACTCTGAGCCCAGCTCCCTCCTTTGTCCTTTTTGACAAGTCACAGTGCTCATGCCTCAGTTTCCTTATAGGTGGTGACATATGAGCCAAAGAGCCTCACCTGGCAACCATGTACAGGGAAAGCATGATACAACCGACGGAAAAGGACTGAAATGTGCTCTCATGATTAAAAGAAAATGCCGTGAGTCTTGCCTCTGCTCCATGGTTAAGAATTGAATGTGTCTGAATTTTCCTCTAGCCGGAGTTCAGAAGAAAGGAGACTGACAGCGGAGTGCGGCTGGTGGGGAGAAGGAAGCTGGTAACACATGCCCATGAATCCCAGCCCCAGATTTTTTGCTTTGAAATTATACCGGTTCTTCCCCTGTGGGCTTTCAACACCAAGATATTATTCCAGAGGGGCAAGGGGCTTTATTGTGCACATGACCCTTCAGTGTCTGAAGCATCTCAGGTTGCCCTGAGTTTATAGGATGGCCTTCGGCCCACCGAGGTGGCCGAGAAAGGGAGAAGCCAGGGATGCAGTCCCTATGACAGTGGGGGTGAAGAAACCAAAAGGCAAGCTAAAGAGGCGGTGGCATGCTGAGTAAGAGGGTCTTGGGGTCACCCAACTTGTACCCAAACTCAGAAAACTATCCCAGTCTCCTTCACTGCTGTTCTGGATAAGTGGGCACTGGCGAGTCTATCTAGACCTATAATCACTTTCTCCCAAATTCAGGGGGAAACACCCAGCAGTAACCAAGATGAGGGCAGTGAGTTCCAAGATGTATTCAAAGGCAAACTAGCTCCAAGACACGCTTTGTGTTAACAACCTACAGATGCAGGGACCTGGGTAAGCTGGCTCTTTGGCCCGCTCTGAGAGATACCTGGTGGCTGTGATCTGAAAAAATCTCTTTAACTTTGCCTACAAGTGCACTCCCAGCCAGACTTATGAGATCAGACAGGACATGGTGAGAAGAATGAAACACGACTCTAAAAAATGCAAGTGAGGCCTGGAGGTGCCAGTGGGCACTTCCTTCTCTGCTGCCCGAGCAGGAAGCACCCCCATCCTCCCTCTCATGGAACCCAAAAGCACCTCTCCACTTCACTCAGCACTCCTGAAGCAGGAAGCACTCCCTGCACACTGACTTCTAGAAGCTATAAATTCCTTTCTTTTGCTCAAAACTCGTATGTCTAGGTTTTGGTCAGCTGGTATACTCTAGTTACTAATAATGGTACCTATTTGTAAAATGACTCCGGACATGTGAGGGATTGAGTCAGACAGCAAAAATGTGGAAAACATGCAGACTTCAGTCAGGTGGTCAAGGATATTAGCTGAAGGCAACCGAGTGGCAAAAGAAACCAGGTACTACCTGGATAAGGCACAAAAGTCCACAGACCCAAGTCGGGAGACACACGTTGGAAGTCATGCCAACGGATTACACAAAGAGAGGCACACAAAGAAGCCCGAGGATTTGTGCCTCCTGTGTGGCAGCATGAAATTCCAGCTAAGAGGCTTGAGGGACTGGGTGATGTACCAGGAAAACCTACAGGGTGTTCAGCTAGAACTCTAGAGCAGTTGTTCTAGAAAATGAGCTGACCACTCCTGAATCCTGGTCTTGCAGCTGACTAGGAAAAACCATTTGCTGCGCCCACCTGAAATGATGAACTGACCATCTGAGGTTGGGAGGAAATGACCCTAAATCCTGGGAAAGGTTTAAGGAGATGAAGGGGTGAAAGGAAATCATTTCAGTACTTAAGCTTAGGATCAAGGTTTGTGATCATTGGGATAAATCTGTATATTGATAAAACTTGAAAGAATAGGGAGCCTATTAGACCTCTTAGGATTTCTATTTTAAACTGAGTACTGATTTCAGATTTTTAAGATTTAAGTATTGGATTCAGGCCGTAAGAGAATTGGGAGTGTTCAAGATAATTTATGACATTTGTAACTTTAATTTCTTTGATCTGCAAGAGTAGTTTAAGTGTTTAGAAAGGTTTTGTTCGTTAGGCTGGTAAGACCACCCTGTCAGACATTTCAAGAGATGGTGGAAACCAGGTAATATTCAATTGATGAAAGCAGTCTGAAATATTGAAGGAAACATAATGACTCAAGTTTGTGAACAGGACTGACTGTCAAAGCAAACAATAAATGGAAATAATTTATACAAGAATGATTTACAGATGATATTTGTAAGAAGTAAATCTCCAATAAATGGGGCATGAAACCCTCCTCAGATAGATACTAAAACATTTCATTTTATGACTAAATGAACAACTTTTACATAGATGCCAAGTCTTGCATTAATTTGTTCACTCATCCAGCCAGCCAGGCACCATACAAGGCAGTGTGCTCCAACAGTGACTGAGAATTGTCCTGATCCTTGACCACAAAGCCAGAAAATGTGACAGACAAAACCACAAAGCTCACATACAAAGGAAACTGTAAATCAAAAAGATGAATAAATGGTACCAAGTAGAAACTGCATTGGTTCCCAGCATAATTTCTATCACCTTTAACATCTCCTCAAGCCACCAACCAAGTGACTATAATCCTGCAGTGTGGCAAAGCCCGGACCCGACGACACTCTGCTGTGCAGCTCTCTCCTTAGTGGCATGAGAGTGGCAAAGGGAAGGAGCCAGGAGAGCCAGGTCCTGACTCCAGTCTCCCCAGAAACACTCCAAGTGAGAGTTCACCCATCACTTTCTCTCGGGGGCCTAGTTTCTTATATAATAAATGAGTTGGTCAAAGTCACCCCAAAGGTGGCTTAATATTTCCTTTGAGTTGAAGCTCAGAGAAAAGTTGGCAAAAAGGCGAATAGGCACACTGGGCCCCACTGGTCTCAGGTTATCTCCTGCTAAACAGGTAAACTAGCTGCATGCCCTAATCTTTTAACTTTATT